TAAGATGCTGCAGACCTGGAGCAGATGTAGGAGAGAATATGTGCTGATGAACATCATTTCCTCGGCAGTGGGAGTACAAAGGAGAGGAGATTCTGACAAGGTACCACAGTAGGAAAAAAAAAACAAATCAGGGTCAATATCAAATCTTCTGTTTCAATAAAGAAAAAAACCCTGATACTTCCAAAATACAAGTTATATCTTCTTAATAAATGCAATAAACTAAGCGGTCAAAAGTTATCCTTTCAATTATCATCCAAACCAAAATGTATTTTTCAGTCAATTTAATATTTATTTAACATTATTTCTCCATTATGAAAATCTTCCAATCTGAAATTATCCAAATCCTTTTTTTGTAGTGATACCCAGGCTTTCTGGAATACATACCACTGTCAATCCTTAATGTAAAACTTTTAATTGAGAAAAAATAACAAATTGATAATGACAGCAGTAACAGACATGGACAATTTATATCCCAGCCTTCAAAATTTGGGAGCCATGATTCCACACCATGACTGTGGCAACAACTGAAATACACAACTGTGAAAATATGAATTACACAAACTGTTAAGTAGAAAACCACATTTAGCACTGACAGTGTTTTAGAACAACAACTAATTAAGCCTGAAAGCAGCACTGCAAAATGGCTTTATTCCAATTTTAGCAATCGGGAAACTGAGGCACAAAGTGGTTAAGTGACTCATCCATAGCACATCTATTGTAGCATCAGGATTACATCTGAGGACACCAATTCCCAGCTCTGTGCTCAGTTCTATAAACTATACTGCTTTTGCAGGGTTAGCAGCCAACACGCATTCTTATACATAGAGAGCACAGAAAATTTTTCAAAGTAGCTGCTTTCCAAAAAGCTGCAAACAGATTTCTACATAAACATAAAAAAAAAAAGAGGTTCTAACACCTACTTTATTGAACTACACACGATGAGATGTCCTTCACTAGAAATAAAGTAAAAGTTAACTTACAAATACTGATATTATAAAGTATGTATATTGGTATTATAAAATGTGTTAGAATACAAACTAGTGTTACCGTATTCTTACAATTTTGATTCTGGTTGAGGGATGAAAAAAGTTTCTATTTACTATATTTAAACATAAAAGTGAGCAAAACAGAAATCTGGGGCACAGTTTAGTTTAGGTTAGCAGTCAGACATTTTACACTGAAAGTTCTGAAGTCAAGCATATTTATTGCTTCTTCAGTATCAATGTTCCTTGCTTTAAATTTCCTAATGAATCCAAATACTTATCAGTAAGTAACCTTTACATATTGGAAATCATCCCCACTAGCAATCTCTGCTTAAACAGCTGATGAGCTTGACAGTGCACTGACAGAAAAGGTTAAGCCTGTTTCTTACCCTGTTTCTCCCTTTACTATCTGATAGATTCATTTAACCTTCTCTACTTATAAAGATAGTATTAAATCTACAGTTTCCTTAATTTTACCTAATAGGAGATATAAATATAAACATCATAAATAGCAGTCTTGATTAGTAGATTTCAAAGCATTTATAAAGGACACAAGCATTAAAATGGAATTGCTTGTTTAAATTTCATTTCTAGAACCACATGTGGCAATGTAAATATTTTTTCTTCAAATCTAAAAGTTTTAAATAGCATTCTTAATTTAAAAAGATAATAAAGGTAGCAAAAGTTTCCAGAGATTTGAGACATGTGACAGCTCTCTGGCAGATTATTAAAAGTACTTTTTAAATCTGAAGAGTGACCAATCTAGAAAGACAGTTACAAACGTTCAGCTTTACTACATTAATTAATGTTTGGTACAAAACCTAATCACCATGTACCCCATTTTAAAACATTTAAATATTGTTCTTTTTTGGCTATACTTTATGGTAAATGCTCCACACAAGTAAAATGTTAAAGCTTCTAAATGCAATTTTGTATACAGCCAAATAAGCATGACAGATAACAGAAAGTTCTAACAAATAAAAGCAATGTCTATTGGCCACAGAAAACTCTGGCTTGTTTTTCTCCATAGTTTCAATTTGAAATGTTTAAGTGCAATTTGTTTTTCACAACAGTCCTTACTGGATCCGTAGAGATGGGGCTCCAAGCCTCTGCTTCCTCCGTTTCATCATTGTGCTGATAGATGGTTTCTTCCCAGCACAAGAGGCTTAGAGGTGGGGAGGAGAGCCCACTGTTATCACTCCAACGCAGAGCACAGAACAATCAGTGCAATCCAAGCTCTTCGTGTACCCCCCAGTGTCACAAAGACCTCAGGAGTTCAGTAATGGTCCAGATTAATCACCCAGTTTATGTCAAAAACCTAATTATTTAAAAAAAAAAAAAAAAAAAAAAACAAAAAAAACTACGAGTCTATTCATAGCATCCAGAGAAAGGAAATGAAGCTCCCCAGTACAAAACGAAGGTGCATAAAAGTCCGGGACACAAACTAGCCATCTGACCTGTCAGACAGCCAGCAATACAGCCCTGACAGACTCAGGCTGAGCCCACAGCAAATCAGCGACAAACTTCTCCTGGGCTTCAAGGAGCAGGAACAGTCGCTCTCACCAAATCAAAAGAAAAGCACCAAGCCAAAGGGAGCAATGGCACACTTGAAAGGTTTCTGGCAGAAATCTCACACAGCAGCTTGAAAACTCACACTGTGATAGAAATAGAGTCACTGCTCCCACCCAAAGCCCTTGCAGAGTCATCAGCGGTGCAAAGAGCAGCTGCTCTCGACCGGCGGGGGAACATGGGAGCCATCCCTTTTTCAGAAATCAATCCCCTCAAGAACACATACAACTTTAATCTTAAAGCATGTTCCTGTAACTCCCAAGCTGTGTTTCAGCTACAAACTTTATGGATTCTAGCACTGATAACAGAGCAACAGCAATCGCAGCAGACGGGGGAGCCAAATGCTGTAAGTGGGGGGAAACACCTTCATTAGGAGACGATGTTCCCCTGTACAGTGCAAGTCTTGCGTTTTTGTTTGCAAATGGCAATTTCAATAAGCCCAAAATCAATTTCATGCTATTAACAAAACTGCCCCAAAATAATGTCCAACATTTTTCAAATGTGCATTTGTTGGAAGATGGCTTTCCCCCCAAAAAAATCCAAATACGTATCTTTGATAGCCTTTAAATTGTTAACGACTATTTAGGCAGGTAAAGACTGCTACTCATCAACCAAGTTAAATTCCAGATTACAACTCTCATCTCCAGATCCTCCCATGGCTCAACTCACAGCAGGAGCACCCCATTCTACAAGATCACAACCTCCCAACAGCTGTGTCCCATCAGGAGAACAAACTGCCAGTCTAAAAGTAAGGGCCAGGGTGGCTGTTCCTTAAACAACCAGAGCCCCTGCCCCTCCATGCCGTGCCTTCAGAGTAAGAAAGCACTGCAAGCAACAAAAGGTACAACTTTGATATGTTATGTACAATTTTATTATACTTATTAAATGAGAACCTGGATTAAGTAGTGGAAACTTGATAATAAAAACTGCACAAAAGACTTTTCTCAATTTTAAATCCTTGATGAAAACCTTCGTAAATTCTTTGTCTCTGCAATTACAGCATATACTGAGCATTTAAATTCCCTTTATTCACTAAATCACTTCTTTTATAGAAACAATGCTTTCAAATTATTTTTAAAGCCTAATATACAAATAGCAACACTCCTATGGAGCCCTGCGGAAATAATTCAGCACATTCCACCTCCAGAGCCAGTCCCACATATCAGCTTAAGAGCACCAGGTTATTTTTGATCTACTGCTCGTGAGCTGCGTCTACGCAGCTCAGAGAAGAATGGAGTGGTTAGAAAATACCACACCTCTTTCTCTCCCCATCTCTAAAAAGTATCACAAGCAGAAGCACTGAATGGAAGCATTATTTCTCACTCCATTTCCAGGTTCAAGACAGAATAGAGTGCAAAAGTAGCAAAACTCCCTAATCCCTTTTCAGAATCATTTTTTTCTCCGTTCCTAGCACTTGGCTTCTCCACGCTTGAGGCACAGCACTTGCTCCTGGCAGGGAAACAGCATCAGTCGATCCCCGGCAGAAATGCTTACCTACCAAGACGAACAGAAACGGAATGATATACTCCATTTCTCTGCAGATACAGAGGAAATTCCCACAGCACCTGAGCATGGCAAGATGAAGACATAAACCAGCACTAAAGGCCAGAAAATATTTTCCTGCCATCAAGCTTGTTGTTTCCAAAGTCTAAGCATTAGAAAGAATATAAGTAGAAACTGTTATAAACTGGTATTCAGCATATCCTCCCAAAGAAATTCCCTGGTGTGTTTGTCCGTTATTTTATTGTGAGGAAGCTGAGGGTAAGTTTAACAAATTATGATGAAGACTTGTTTAATGAAACACACTATGAAATGTCTAGGGATGTAGAAACCAAGAACCTGCAGAGGACTGTAAGTAGATAGGGAGGACAGAGAAGGGGGGGAGTAAACGAGCCCCACAGTGGACATAAATTGCCGTAAAAATGAGATTAGAAGGAATAAAGACCACTATAAAGGCATGTGCAAGGCTTTTAACAAACGCTATTATGTTGCTTACCACCTTTCATAGACATAAAATCTTGAGGTAAATACTGCTTCTTATCAGCACCTACCACCGTCAAAACAGCAGTTTGTAATATTTTATTTGTGTATTTTACTGGATATACTCTGCATTATTTTTCAAGTTTCTTATGCCTCCATGTTCTTTTTCTGTTCATATGCAGACTTGAGAAGTCTATTTGATACAGATGGTTGATAGCAGGAAAGAAGTAACAAAAATAACTTACATCTGAAATTAAAAACTGGTTTAGCAAATTTAGTTTTCTGAGGAAATTACTCTTTTCAAATTTAGATATAGTGTGGGAAAGCAATATTTTCTTTTTTAAAAATACTACGTTTCGATAGTACAAAAATTACAGCAACCCAAGCTAGTAATCCTGCCTAAGAAACCATGAGAATTTCAAATATAAACCCACATTTTTCATAAAAACCCTGAACAGGCCAATAAAGTTCATGTTATAAACAACTGAATTTATTAAGAATGGGGTACTGAACAAGGAACCAGATGGCTCAAATGCAACCTCAACTTGATTTAGTGAGTGCCGATTAGCCGAGGAGTCAATCAGAAGAAATAGTGAGCTCCAGTGTGGTGTTGCTGATCCTGCAGCCACAATGAAAATCTGCAGTTCACAGTCTGGTCTTTTGGATGCGGAGCTGCTGTTATACACATGAGCACACACGAGTGCTTCATCACGAGCCTCATCTTGCTGTGCAGTCCCCACTTTCATCCTTTCAAGTCTGGAATGTCTCTAGTGCGCTTCACATGCAGGTGCACATCAAAACCATTTGAAAGCTGAAGCCAACAATACAAAAACCAATCTCTGTACACACCGTAGCACCACAAAGAACAGAACAGGGTAATAGCTGCAAATAATTAAACCACTTCCACTAATAGGATGGAGATCAAAGTTTGAGTTTATCACTTCACATTTGCTATTTGAAATTAAAGAAAATATTCATGAATTATATTTATTTTTTGTGAACAAAGCATGGGAAAAGCATAACCACTGCATTTATATGCATAATTTATTAACTGAAAACTTTGAACTCTGATTATTGAACCACACCAGAGATAGAACACAACTACTTGTTCCTGTTCTCATACTTGTATATTCAACCTCTCAGCAGCTTACAACTCAGTTGAGTATAATTTCCTTTAGTGTATTAAACATAACCACCCGACAGAAACACACATGCTTTAAGCGCATTCACAACAAAATGGTATCTAAATAATCAGGCGTTCCTCTTAATGTCACCCTGCATACAATTCCCCCATCTGTTTTACATTCCTGCTCACTCTGTGCTGATTATTTCAAGATTAGACTGTAAGATCTCCAAGGACAAAGACATCATTTACAGTGTGCTTGCGTTCCCTTCTGCTAATGTGGAAGCAGAGTCGCTAATCAACAGACTTCACAGGCTCCATCCCACCATTCATTCTCTTCAGCTTCTACCAAAGACCTTCTTTAGGTGACAAAATGCCTCACGTTGTCCTGCCAAAATACTGAGACATCTAACCCCACATCTTTTCCTTAGTACAAATAAGCACAGCAACTGTTCTCTATGCCTACAATCGGTTCTGCAGAAAAATAGAGACTACTAAAACTGACCCAGGCAAATATGAAGCAACGAGTCAAATAAAGAAAAAGTTAGAAGCAGTCAGGAAGAGCTCGCTCCTCTCCATTCAGCCATGACAAATACTCTATCTAATCCACAGTCAAAAACCTTTCTAACTCAACAATCAACCAAAGCAATCACCTAGCAAGCAGCAATAATAAAGACTTTATTCAACTTCTGGCTGTCTGGAAAATAATGACTTCCTCCCCAAATACAATCTTTTTACAGTAGTAAATGCACCCCAGTCTCCACACTAGCACACAGAAGAATGCTGGGTGGTTGTATACGTCTATATAATACAATTGCTAGTGAACCGCTACAAAGGCTGGAGTTTGTGCAGAAAATGGATGCACCTCTTGAGGGTTTCTGGCTCCAAGCCAAATCCTTCATCCTTCTGTCAATTCCTGCTTCTGCTCCTGCCGGTGAACAAAAGTCAATGAATGACAGTCAATGAATCAGGCCCTCGCTGCATCCATAACTACTCCTACTCATTAGCTACAGCACAACAGCTTTTTAGAATAAATTTTATTTTCAGAATTTATTGTTGCTTATGAGGTTCACTGTTAAATTGATTCAAGCAGAGTAAAAGCTTCCAGAAGATGTGAGAACTGCCTGCAGTCTGTACTTAAGTGTACATCACTAGGTCACTCTTTTTGACAGAATGGCTGAACAAATTTATTCATATTATATGTATATTTTTAACAAATATATCCACACGCATTGTAATTATTCCCTTTCTTGATATAAATTTCTCTGATTCCTGATTCGAACACTTAAGTGGATTTTTTTTAAATCACGTAAGTGCTCTGATACTGGGATATGCAAATCATGTACATCAGCTCCACAAGACCCTTTTCAGTGAGCCTATATGCTTAACAGTACGGCATCAACACAAATATACACAAGCCACAATGCGTTACTGACTTCTTAAATAGTTAAACTTTTCAAACAACAAGAAATCATTTGATAGAATTGACTACGGAATCTGTAATTCCAGAAACCACAATCAAATAATCAACTAGATAACACAGGCAACTAACTGAAAACATCTTCATAGATTTTCGGTCTCACTAATAGCTGCAACCTTGTGCTTAAAATTTATGGCCTGGATCTTCTTGACACAGGTTGATAAATTTCTTCACATAATGATGGCTTAAAAGGCACTCACTTGTGGAAGAAAACTAAAGTGAAGTAATAAAAACTGAAGGTGTTAAGTCAGTATAGAAAGAAAACATTCAGTTATTCAGCTTAGTTACTACTAAATAAAACACTACACACATTTGAAGTACTTCATTTGTATCTCAGACATTTCAAATGTAAATACACGAGTATGTTTGTGTCATACCTACCTCCACACTTGAGCAAGGGAAGGGAATATCTCTGGCATCCTCAATTTTAATTCCAAAAGTTTTGTACAAAAATATCTAAGTTACGTTAAACAAAAAACTTACTGGTAATTCAATGCTCCACCATTTGTTCAAACAACCTTCACAATCTTCAAATCATGAACACCACCTTCCTTAAAAATCTATCAAATATAATTAAGCTAGCCTTTAAGGCATACTGCTTAAAAAAAAAAAAAAAAAAAAAAAAAAATCAGCCAGTGTTTCATGTTCTTTAAATAACTCCCTGACTAGTTTACCATTGTCATACAACCAAACAAAAAGGTCTGGTCATGCCCCACTTTAAAAAAAGGCCTTTTGATCTGTTGTATTGTTCAGCCCTGAATCACTGGTGTTACACAGCATTTTCCAAACGCTGTTTCTTATACAAAGGGGATAGCTTACATTGAAAGACTGAAAATCATTTCTCATTATAACCAGAAACCTGAGGAAGAAAGGTTATATGCTTTTGTGAGCTTTGTGTCTGTAGTCTACAAGCTTTGGGAAACAATTTTAAATCATAATGCAATAGCAGGCAGCACAAAAGCTTTCTCTTTTATATAATGCAATCAATAATGCATTTTCTTCCACCGTAAATCTGTAAGCATAGCAGAAGCTCAGTTCTCATAATATCACTGAAACACAAGTTAGTTCACTAAAACTCTTTAAACGTCATAATGTATTTTTAAAATTTGCTATTTGTTTAAGCCGCATTTTTAAAAGCCTACTTTTCATGTCATTTGCTACTTTGACAAAATATCTATATCACACTGACTACCCCACAAACACCTGACCTGCACAGCCCTGGAACTGTGTGCTCAGACTTCTGTCAACAGACTGTTTGAAGACCAGTGATCAAAGTTGTCCATATCACATAAACAATCAGTGACTTCTGTTGAGTCACTTCAGCGATGTCAGTGCAAGCAACACTCAACACCACAGTTACTTCCCTATCAGGATCAGCTCAAGCTGATAATTAGAAGTAAGCTTACACTACTACTACTTTTTCTGCTACACTTAAGGAAATTAATAGAGGCTTCAGTCTCAGGAAAATGCAAGCTAGCTGTTTCCAAGTGGATGACAGATTCCTGAAAATGCTAGCAGAGAAAACAGAATATCTGCCCATTTAAATAATTTCCACAATTGTACAGCTATATATGTTCAAATCAAACCATGTGATGAATAAAGAATAATTATACTTACAAGCTTCCTCTTCTGGGGAGACTGAGTTCCTTCTGGGAAAAGAAAAAAAAAAAAAAAAAAAAAGAAGAAAAAAAAAAAGAATGAAAACCCTGAGTTAATTTTACTTGTTGTTATATATCACTCAATTATTTACCAGTAAATGACTGTGGCAAAACTAATAAAAAGCTGGCCATTTGCAAACGCATGCTCAGTGTATAACTGCATAGCACTGCTGTATGTAAGGGGTGAATCTGCACATATTCATAGCACAGTCATCTGGAATACAACAGTTACTTATTTTGTCTGAACAGTCATTGCCTTTGCAGTCACAAAATCATAAGCATTCAACAGAGCAAATGTAACTTTGCAATTCAAGCCTAAGCATAGATAAGGCAGTAATTAATTCTGTCCTACACACCTCATCAGCATCACATCAGAACCACTTCCAGAGTGTGGTACACAATGTGCCTAGCGTCTGCTGCATGTGTTTTCTCACATTCTCACCAAAATGAAACATTAACGCAACCGAGTGGCTTCTGTGTTGGTCTTTCACTTTTTTTTTTTTTTTTCCCCAAACGTACACATTACTTGTGTTACATATTATCACAAAAAATCCAAGGCCAATGAAACAACTCCCACCTCCAAGCAGCATTTTGCACCTAAGCAGCAATAGCAAATGAAGACCTGGAATTTTTAGGTTTTTATTTAAGTAAATGGACCGTTAGCATCCACAAGGCACAGACAGGGGTGGATACAGCACGATGGGACAACGGCCAGCCGTGTTCGGTTTGCGTTTTTTCACGCTTTTTCAAGTCGGTGCCAGCGTCTCGGTGCCTCCCCCGCCCGGGGCCGCCGGGCGCTGCGCTGCCTCAGCCCGCCACCAGGTGGCAGCCGGCTCCCGCCCGCAGCGTCCCCGGCCCCGCCCCCGCAGGCTCCGCCCCCAATGGCCCCGCCCCCCCCCCACGGGCCCCGCCCCCCGGCCCCTGTGAGGGGAGGGCAGAACCCTGCCCGGGGGGGTCACAGGCAACGGGCACCCGCGCCTCCGCCCGCTCAAACGCTGAGAAAAAGGTTAAAAAAATCTCCGTTCCGGGCCGGCGGGGCGCCGGGCGATCCCGGGCCGCTTCCCGGCACCTTCTCCCGACCGAACGGGAGGTCACGACGAGCCCGCCTCAGCTTCTGGCGGTCAGAATACTGCCCTGCGAGCGGTATTTTTCATCCCCACCAAGAAGATAACTGAATCAGTGTTTTCACTGAATATTGAAAAAAGTCAATGGAAAAAAAATCAAATCCAGAAAATGTGGTAACATCTTTTCCATACTGAGTTACGTGGTGTACGTAGGGACTTAAATGATGAACAGTGTTACTGACAAACTGTCAGGGACTGATCTATTAAGTAATACATTAGACATTTCTTACCAAAGTTCTGCAAAGATACCAGAAAGTTACAGAAAAAAAAAATCATTAAATCTTCAATATGCTATTATTATTTTCAATTTAAAATTTCATTACAGTTTAACAGTACTGAGCAAATTTCATGTGTGAATTATCACAAGGCTGACAGCTTACAACATCAAGAAATAAATTCCTGTCATCAGACAAACTTGTCAAGATCTAATCAAAACATTTCAAGTATGTAAGATAATAAATCATTAGCATCTATAGCAGGTTGTGTGTTTTATACTCTGTAAAGGTACTTCTTACATTCTAATTTGTTAGAAAGAATTAGTTTCCAACCATTTAGTCTGTGTAGCAATGACAGCTTTTTGCCACTGCAAATGGATAAATAGGTAAGATATAGTTATTATATTGTACATTATTCTGTTTGTGTATGTGCTGTATTATTTATACATGCATATATATCTCACATCATGTGAGCAATGTATTTAATTTACCTGCTTTAAAGAAGATCTGATATAAAAAGGTGCTTAGCAGAAGATACTTTTCATATTCAAATGGCACATTTCCATTTATTCCAACAGTCAGCCCCAGAAATTTTCAGACTGAATGAATAAAGGTCTGGAATTTCAGGGTACTGCCTGAAAAAGGAAAATGGTGACCTTTAAATCTCTTTATCTGCCTTCTAATTTTTGAGCTTTTAGGGTTCATGTTTACAAGCTTTGCTCTAGGCATTAGGGCTGAAAAGTCACTTAAAGAGAGAACACCTCCTTGCAGCAGCACGGCTCCAGTAATTGTGAGTTACAGACATACACCATGGGAATCCTGGTCCAGTAACAGGAGTGGACAAGCCTTCTCCTTTCTTCTGCTGTACACTTATTTTACTTCTGCAATATTACCTTTAATACTTCCTATAATGTAACTAATTCAGGATTAAATACATGCAGGGTTAAAAGGAGGACTGACTTGGGCTTTGATCCTGAAATCATCCTTTGAAATCTGTGATCAACTGCGTTTCCAAGTAAGGAAGGAAAAAAGTACTAGCAGATGACATCTCAATGGAATTGAAATATTATTCTACCCATGTATCAATTGTTTTCATTCTGCACCTCCACCTTGACAAACACAGTGCAGCTGTGGGAATCAATAGGCAGTAGTTCAAATTTAATACCTCTGCGGTCTTAACAAAGAGCACAATCAAAGCAATCAATTTTTATACTTCTTGTTCCACTATGGCTCATTTCATGTTAGTCTTAAAATCCCCTTCAAAAACCCTACCAGCCATACACACCAAGCCATGCCCCGACTTCTGCAGTACTTTTCCTGCCCTCTGGAGAAACACCAAGCCTGCACCCTCCCAGCCCTTCACCCTTTTCTACTTCTCCAAAGCAGGGTTGGTAACATCACTTCTTACAATGCTCCAGACCAGACTATGAATGGTGGGGCCAACACACAAGCATCAGAGCTGGAAGTTACTCAACTGCAAACAGCGTAATTGCGAGCTTTGCTTTTTCCTGAGTCACCAGTGAGTTAGTGTCTAAAAAAAGTTACATCCCAGCAAAGGAGAAGAAAGAAAATGGCTGGAGATGGAAGCAAGGAGGGAGCAGGCTGCAGACAGAACCAATGACCTGTTTCAGGCTGTCCACTGTCAGGAGAACCTTGCAGATCTCCAGGGGGTAGAGCGGACAATGACAATGCTACCAGAGATGGGGGCACACTCACAGGGTGGAGCCTCAGCTCAGACTTAAGGTGGCTTAACACTTCAATGTGTGCAGTGGGACCAACTGAGAGTTTACATCTAAAAATTACAGGGTAGTTTCAAACACATGAAGTAGCACTACAAAAACACTAATTAAATAATTATGCAAAATATAAGAGAGAAGTCCAACAGCATTTCACAAGTACCCTTTAAAGGTGAAACTGCACTCAGAATCAGTCTTACGGTTCAGATTAAACATTTTAGATAGTAAATGATGACAGAGGTGGTGTGATTTGACTGGTTTCCACCCACTTCACAAAGGAATTTGGGATTATATGTCCATGTATCCTGAAAAAATAGATCACATTTTAGGAAGCAAGATGACTAATAAAAGCATGCTGAGCTGTGACTACTTGGTCTGAAACACCATTTACAGGGCGCAGCTGTAATCCTTTCAGTAAATATGCTAGTTTAACCTAAAGGACATTTTTCATTTAAGACCACCCTTCTGATGAGAATGACGCATGAACATTCAAGATTTCAAACTGCCTCTTCCAGCAGCACATCCGCCTCCCTGAGCACTTGTGCTGCCAGTACCTATATATATTGCCATTATTACTTCAGCCAGCCTCCATCCCACCTGCTCTCTAAGGTCAATAATATAACCCTCAAAATAGAGGCTTACATTTATATTTTATTTATATGAAGTGATAAATAGCATAAGAATATTTTAAAAGATTGTTGCACATTATTCACAGAACACTTTCAGAAGTAGAAACAAATAACTACTTTCACAGATCCTAAAAAATAAGAAGTGTATTAAATCTTGCAGTACCCTAGCACAGGAAC